GGCATCCAGAAGTATCCAAACACTTAAATCCATTATTACCTAAAAATAACGTTTTACATTTTATATAGCATTTTACTGTTACTGAAGCAATTTCACATACTCCATTTCATTTTATTCCTCACAACAGCCCTGTGAGGTAAGCTGAACAAGGTACAATTATTTTATGTAAGGCAACAGATGCCCAAAGATGATAAATGATTTATGTATAGAGGTCACAGATCTAGTATCTGATAGAGCGATGGTGATTAATTTTAAATACTTTCAAAGAAATGATGCCAAAATCTTTTTTATATCATATCCAGAGATTTTAAAGACTAGTGGCTTTTAATGTAAAGTACTCCAGAAACTTTAGCTATTATATATCTTACAGTGTGAATTAGTTATAAATTCAATTTTAAAGAGATTCCCTTAAAAGGTAAATTACACGCAGTGCTTTGGTACCTTAGAGATATTGGAAATGTTAAAAAAAAAAAATGCATTATCATAGACCTTATGCTCTACAAAAAGTTCCAATACTAGTAAAAATGCCTTTTACCAATCACTTACAATTTGACTTATTTTAAAATCAGTCCAAACTTAATGAGTTCCAAGCCAAAGCAAACACGTTCACCTACCTTCTGCCCTTACATACCATGAAATCCTCTACATGTCCATTCCCATGGACCAACATACATTGAATGTGAACCATTAAGAGAACCTATCAATTTAAACTAACATAACTTAAATGTTTATGAACCGAAAATCTAAGCTTTATACTGACCCAGAAATAACAAATACACTTTTAGTTTAATAACGGGGTAGTCTTAGGAGAAAAGTACTATGGCAATTTCTGGTATTTATTTATAAGTTAATACTAACTTTTATATGGCATGTCCAATGATATCTTTTCAATGAAAACAACGTATACCATATGTAATCCATTTAAACTCCAAGTAATTCAAAATGCTTAAGTATTTAGGTTAATCAAATATTACAGGTAACAAAGCTGTCATATGTGACATATCAAGATCACAAATAATTGCAGAATGTGACTAACGTAAAATACACACAAAACTAAAACTATACTGAACATGAGGTAATCTTGCTGTGATGATTAAGAAAACACTCATGATCTCTTATAATACTCTGGTACTGGCATTATTAAATATACATTTTGGTTAAAAATAACAAATAACTATATTGTTGCGTGTATACCAAGTGAATTTTTGCTGACCACACTCTTCACTAAAAGAATATATCCAGTGTAAAAATAAAATCAAGGAAGAAACTTTTTCAGACCCATTTTTTGTGACTATATAAAAGTGAACCACATTACATGCAGTTTTTTTTTTTTTTTTTTACAAACTATAACAAATTACTTTTGAAAACTTCTGACTTATTAGCAAAACATTGTTTTTAAGATGCAAACTCCGTCACACCATTCAAAAGCCACAAAACTATATGCACAGTACATCAAATTTCACTAGTTATGGAAATATGAATACAAAGTAATCAAATTTGACTGCCGTATCAATAGACACTCAAACTACTTGTATGAATTAGCCAATGAATCAACACTGATCTAACAAATAAAAACAAATGTTTTTAAAATAAAGAATTATGATCTGAAAATACAGACAATTCTTTTAGCTTGGGATCACATATTTGACAGTAAGAAGTCTATACTGTCCTCTTTTAAAATTAATACTCTTTGAAATAATTAGTTTCCATATAAATTTTTCCAATTTTTTTCCAGTTGTTTCCAAAAGAAACAAAATTACATGAATAACTATAATTTTATGGAAAAAGTATATAGAGAAAAACCATTCTAGGTAAATCATAAAATAGAATATCAGAGCCATATCATAGCCTAATTAAAAAATTTCATTACAAATATTTACTTTTATTATTTATACCAAGGATCAGTCATAATGTTGTTCATGCTTTAGTTTCATAAATGAGTAAATAAAAGCAAGCCAGAATGTCTCTTTATAACATGGGGAAAAAATTTACTGTTTGCAGAACAGAGTAAGAAGGCCAAATCTAGCTGTACAGTTCATGGTTTGTCAAAATGATACAGATGCCATCAATTAAACTCATGACAGACAGGCATGCCTCTAATACTTTCAATCTGTTTACCTATACCTGTTACATTCAAAGAATCACCTTATATTAAATTTCTATGTGCATTAGTTATTAAATGCTTGGTATATACAAATTTACCAAAAGTTAAAGACATATTTGATGTGGTCAGTTGAACGAGTCAAAATAAATTGTAAAAAAAATTATTTTTCTAAAGTGCTTAAGGCAGCTCCTTCATTTTTATATCCAGGTTAATAAAACTGGTTTGGAATTTAACTGCTAAAAGAGAAATGCAATACTTAACACGTTTTTATAAAACAATTTTTTTTTTACACCTGTGATACATCCATTACAGTCAATATCTCATGCATTTCCTTTATAGAAAGCAGTCATGTTTGACCTATCAAAACAAAAAGTAAATAAAGCAATAAAGGATATCTGAAAGGGTTTACCAACTTTACACAATGTATTAAATTGAGCATGTTCAATTTTTTTAATTCAAATGTCAATGAGAATGTTTTATATTTTGGTCAAGTTAATAGTTACCTTATTTTGAAACCATTTAAATAAGCACTATATTTGATTATTTTTTTAGTTTGAAATGAGGATGACAAACTTTCTCCAGTTTAACTTAACAAATAAATTTAAAACACTTTAAAACAAACTATTTTGTTCTTTACTTTTAGATACCTTTAAGAATCGGCAGTGAGAGAAAACCCTCAGATTCTTATTTTGAAGTAATAAAATATAAACTAATATTACATATTCATGTGATGAGAACGTGGATTCTGGACTTACTGAATTTATATTTGTTACTACAAAAGAAATGAAAACTCCTCAGTGAAATAAACACATTTTCCAAATGAATATTAGAAAATTTTATATGAAGAGTCTCAGCATAAGCTCAAGAATCATATGCACTCCTCCAGTCCCTGATTAATATATCCTTTTCCCCATGCCCTCATCACTACAACATAATGCTCCCTGACTTAAATATCAGTTGACACTGCATGGTGCACGGAGCAAGAGCATGCTTAGAGGAAAAAGGCACTGAATTAATGAGAAGACACAATTATATATAACATAATAGTAAAAAATTTTATACAAGAACATCTGGCTTTTTCTGTGTAATTTTTGCTAAGATATACTAAAATTCACATATAACAACCTGACCACTAAATTACTGCTTTCAGGTTTGAATCTGTGAAAGAGAATTACAAATTCCTGTTTCCTTAGGTCCTGAAACATCCAAAAATTTCTCTCAAAATCTCTATGAGGAACAAAAACCAAAATTATATTTGTTTGGAGAATCAAAAAATATCTACTAACAGTTCATTCTATAAACTACCTGATAGTCTTTAAAATTATCAATATGTCATCAGATAATAGTGCAGATATGAATGTCCTCTGGAAAAATACCCAATTCAAATAAAATTCATTTAGATTCGTTTTACCAGCGGAACAAAACACTCTAATAATAAGCAGTAAATTTTAAGAGAAAATGAGCTATTATAACTACACAGGCCTTTACATGGAAAACAACTCAAATGTAAGCAGCAATGGTCACTTCTTGGGAGAAGGTTGTCATAGCACAAGATATTTAAAATGAAAATGAAACACAGTCAACAAGAGAAATTAAAAGTTTCAAAAACTAAAGAAAATACAAATTCAGACCTCTTAAAAAATGCTCAAGGAACACCTCTTAAAAATGCTCAAGGAACACCTCTTAAAAATGCTCAAGGAATTCTTAAATAACTGTAATTACAATTTTTAATTCGACTCACAAGACTTGAATTACAAATTTTAATTACCTTTTAAGAATAGACATGTTCTGCTCAATAACCATGGGCTTTACTCACTGCTTAACATATTTTCACCATGTTTGGGAAAGAGGTCTAAGTCAATTTTTGGAATAATTTCACTCCTTTAGGAAATGAATGTAGCAAAAGGACTGAGAGAAAAATAACATCTGAATGATTGTTCGAAAAACTCAGGTGCTGGGGCCGGCCCGTGGCTCACTCGGGAGAGTGTGGTGCTGATAACACCAAGGCCGCGGGTTCGGATCCCATATAGGGATGGCTGGTTGCTCACTTTGGTGAGCGTGGTGCTGACAACACCAATCCAAGGGTTAAGATCCCCTTACCAGTCATCTTTTAAAAAAAAAAAAAAAAAGAAAGACTCAGGTGCCAATTAAGTCAGAAATTTGCAGATTTTTTTCAAAGCAATTGTTTAAACCATTCTGTATCTTATTAAAAAGAAGATACAAATTACTTCGTAAAGAATACTTTTAGGCAGCTCCCTTGATAACCTATCCTTCTTAGATAAAACTTGAGTAGTGTAGGTTTTTCTACCCTCTATATAACTTTAATAAACTTTCATTCCTTCTAGAAATGTTAAAAATCAGCATAATTATCAGTGCCAAATTCAAGTAGGAATTTTACCATAGATAACTATTAAAGGTAGGATTGAACTAGACAATAAAATGAGAAAATATAAGTCTTTTAAAAATCTTACCCATCATCCAAAGTGATGGAATGAAAAGAATTCTAATTAAACAGGGCAACATATAAATATCCCATTACAACTTGTTAGTACGGCACGTACAAATCTGAAATTTGGGTGATTTTAAGCTGTTGTTATGTCTAGAAACTCTCCACTCTCTATTTTGAGTTATAACCACAAGAGAAATAACACAATATTTTGGAAAAGATAAAGTGATACACAATCTAGTCAATAAACAAGAGGATAATTTAGCAAAAGTCAACTTATTTATAAAAGGGGAAAAACAAACTGTAAGAAAACCTCTCCATCATCCCCAACCAATGATTTCAATGTTTAGAAAATCTCAGCAGACTGTTTATTTTTAAAGCTTCAGTGTAAGAATCAAATAATAATAGGTATTGATGAGATAGAAAAGAGAAAATATAGAGCAAAGGAGGCAAGATTTAAAAGCTTTTAACCCCAGGCCCTAGAGTTACCAAATGCAGCTAAACATATTAGAAGAGTCAAACTAATCCACAAACACAAAAATGAGTTTCTATACAAATATTCGAACACTGACTTTTTCCCCATGTACTCTTCAAAACATCAGTTTCTTGCTCATTATCTGCTTGCTTCTATGATATTGCACAGTAGGTCCTATGAATGCTTCATACTAGATGCTTAATGCTAACAGATTCCAGGCCTTAAAGCAGAACTTAGCAAACCTGATTTCCACCACTCACAAATTTCTGTGATTAGTAACTGCCCAGCAAAGGCCACCCAACCAAGAGGGAGGGTAGGGAAAGCATATTCTGAGTAGGCATTATTGAGTAATATTGTTCAGGCTGCTAGCTGAACCAGTCATTCCATTTTCACTTTTCTGAAGTGTTCTGACAGCACTTGGAACCTGCATCCCAGTACTCAAAGAAAGTCCACCACACCAAACCTAAGAAGAGACAAGAATAAAACTCAGTCATATTTCAAATCAAATCAAAACTTCAGTGTTTCTTAAATTTCCATTCGAAAGGTAAAATGCCACATGTATGAATATCGATAAGTCCCAAACTGATAACCTTCATATCTGAGCTGAGAAGTAAAAGGCTAACTCAGAATTCTTTTAGAACCACAAAGGCCAGAGGAAATCTTTGTGGCAGCAAAACCCACTGGAGCTGTACCCAAAGGAAGGAACTGTGGGCTGCAGAAATTTAGAAACTAACTTGGATTAATTTAGGCAAAAGATACTGGTTATCATTACTGATGCTGATTTCATAACCAAGGGAAGTGCACAAAGAGCCAACTTTCTTATCCCAATTATTGCTTTCAGTTTTGATGGTAACAGGTGGCCTGAGACTACAAATATCTAACACCCATCTCTTAATAGAGTAAACGCCATTGGTTTCTTCCCTATCTTGTTAACAATAAGAACTCTTTTATAATTCTTTAAGAATTTTTCAGAGAAATACAAATGACAATATCCAGATGTACTTGCCATGTTCTGTTATTATCATAAATGTGAATGAGTTTATGAAAGATAAAACTACTTTGCTTGTGAATGGAGCAGCTATGATTCAATAAGGTGAAAAATAACAGATTTGGAACAGAGTCAAGAGAATTAATATATAAAAATATGATTAAACTATCATCAACTACCATGTATGAAGCAGACAGAAGCTTAAAGCTTGGAAAATTCTAGAAGTTGTTTAAGTATTCCCACCTTCAATTATATCCTTAAGTATTCAATATCTACTAAATAACTGGAGTAGTATTCCAAAGAATCTACTGACCTGTGGGTTTTGTAACTAGATAATTAACATTCTAAAATTTCAAAACTAGCAGACTCAGTAATGATGAACTCACACAATAAACAAACAACTCTGACTATAAAACTACTACACTACAATACTGGAAATTATTTAAGTGATTTAGAAAAATATTTACTCAAAATATCTAGCATTAAAAGTGCAAAGGCAAATCAAAGAAGAAAAATTAATATTTTCAATAAATGGTAATGGAGCAATCAGACATCCATATGGAAAAAATGAACCTCAAACCATACATTATACCATGTACAAAAATTAACTCAAAACAGATCACTGACCTAAATGTAACTGTAAAACTTCAGGAAGAAAACATAGGAGAAAATCTTTGTGACTTTGAGTTACATAAAATATTATCCATAAAAGGAAAAAAAATTGGTAAATTAGAGTTCAAATCAAAATGAAAAAAATTTCTGTTTGAAATATGCAGAATATTAAGCAAGCCACAGACCAGGAAAAAATATTTGCAAACCATATATATGATAAAGGATTAATATCCAAAATATACAAAGAACTCTTAAAACTTAATAAGAAAACACCCTACCCTCCCCCCAAAAAGGATTTTAACAGATTCTTCACACCAAAGAAGTTATATGAATGGCAAGTAAGCATATAAAAGACGCTCAACATCATTTGTCATTAGGAAAGTGCAAATAAAACCACAATAAGATGCCACTACTTAAAACAAATAATCTGATAATACCAAATGATGGCAAAGATGTGATGAACTCTCATATACTGCTGGTGGGAATGCAAAAATGATACAGCCACTTTGGAAAGCATTTTGGTAGTTTCTTATAAAATTAAACATACACTTTCAATGTAATCCAGCAACACTACTATTAGATATTTATCCAAGAGAAATGAAAACATATGTTCACATAAAAACCCCTATGTGAATGTTTATAGTGACTATTCATAATCGCCAAAAACTGTAAAGAACCCAAATGTCCTCCAACTGGTGGGTGGATGAATAAACTGTGATACATACTATAGATATAAATATATAAAAAACACTACTCAGCAATAAAAAAGAGGAGAATACTGACATACACAACAACATGGATGAATTTCAAATGCATTATGCCACAGAATCAAAAGGCTACATACCATATAATTCCATTTACATGACATCCTGGAAAAGGCAAAACCATAAAGACTAAACTCTCACATACTGCTGGTTGTAAGTTAATATAACCAACCACTTTGGAAAGCTGGCAGTATTTACTACAGTTGATTATACACACATACCATATGATCTAACAACCCCAATCCTAGGTATATAACCAATGGAAATATATACATACATTTATCAAAAACATGAACAAGAATATTCATAGCAGCTGTATTTGTAAAAGCCCCTAAATGGAAAACACCCACATATCCAACTAAATCAGAATAAACAAACTGTGATATAGCCATATAATAGAAGACTGTACAGCTATGAAAATGAATTAACTACAACTACATAGAATATGGATAAATTTCACAAACATAATGTTGAGCCAAAAAGATATTTATGATTCCATTTATACAAAGTTGAAAAGGAGGCAAAATGAATTTGTGGTATTAAAATTGAAGATAATGGGTACTCTGGAGGAGGGCCATTAGTGACTGGAAACGGGCACAAGGGGGCCTCTGAGATTCCAGTAATGCTCCATTTCTTGATCTAGGTGTTGGTTATAAGAGTGAGTACACTCCTAAGAAAACTGATCAAACTACATGCTTATGCTTTATGTACTTTTATGTATGAACATTGACTTCAATAAAATATACCAAAAATAGATGATCACAGATTTGGGAGAAGGTGGATTTAGAAAGGGAGAGGAATAAGGAGAAAAAGTAAGATATTCTACTTCCCCAAATATACAGCATCAGATTATTCTCCTTCAAGTTGCCAAACCAAATAAAACATGTATTAGGTACTAACCATGAAACCAGGTAGTACTGGCTGAGTAAATTTTGTCTTAAAGGAATACAGCAACTGTTTTGAGTTTGCATCATAGAAAGAAAGTTGACCTAAAAGGAAGGGGGGAAAAAGCCTAATTTATTATATGAAAAAAGTAAAACATCTAATTAAATCTACATATAAACATGCAAAAGAGCAATAACTTAATACATATTTTTGAATTAATTTTTTGTTACGAACTATAAGGACTGGACTTAATAATTCTCACTTGTAAACATGATTAAGGAAAAGCCCAAATTCAGTTTTCTTTCTTTTTTTGAATTAATTTTTTGTTACGAACTATAAGGACTGGACTTAATAATTCTCACTTGTAAACGTGATTAAGGAAAAGCCCAAATTCAGTTTTCTTTCTTTTTTTTTTTTTTAAACCCCCTTTACTCCTCCCCATTCTACTTTCCCTGGTTTTCAAGATCTCCATAATCTGGCACTATTCTACTTGTTCAACTATATACTATTTCTTTATGTTATCATTATTTAACAAATGGTTTCATTAGCCCAGTAAAAACCAAGACAATTTATTCCTCCTTATTTTTAACACAACCAACCTCTCTACTCAAATCCTGTCACCATTTAAATTTACTCTGTTAAACCTGGTCTTCGGTCTTCTATCTGAAGCCATACTCATACTTCAGTCTCTGAAATCACAGTACAGTCATCATTGCCTCAGCTTTGTTAATTTTTAAAATCCTTTCCCAGTCTCTCCTTCAACAGGATCACATCCTAAAATAACTCTGCTGGTCTGATCTCCTAACTGTGCAACATGATGGCCTCCTTACAACTGTTAACACTTCCTGAAACTCTTCTCTGATGACTATTCTCTTGGTTTGTATCTGAACCCTAAGGACACCTTCTGTCTATTCCTTTTTCTCCTGTTCTAAATATAGCTGCTTTATAAGGGCTCTTTTTTCTCTCTACAATGCTCAACTGCCTTAATATATCAACTGCCACCAAACAAAGAGGAAAAGAAATTAACATTTATACATACTATTAAAGCACTAGGTGCTTTACATACATTACCTCAAATTATTAAGCAACCTACATATGATCACACAGTAAGCAGCACAGCAGTAATGCTTAAATACACTATTCTCTGCAATCTTCACTAGCCACTCTGTGATGCTGTCTCAAATAGAGTCATGTGCCACTTAACGACAGGGATAATGTTCTAAAAAATGTATCGTGGGCAATTTCGTCATCACGCGAACATCATAGAGCATACTTACACAAACCTAGATGGTATAGCCTACTACACACCTAGGCTATATGGCAGCCACCATCATAAGAGTATATGTGGTCTGTCATTGACCAAAATGTCATTATGTGGCGCACAACTGTATTCAGCTTCACCTCTACTTCTCTTCTGAGTCCTAGCACCGAATTTCAAAATGTTTGCCAAAAATGCCACATGGCTGTCTTGCTGGCATCTCATTTCCCCCCAGACTCTCTCTGTTCCCTATCCTGTTGACACTGTCCTCTTGATTACACTGGCTGGAACCTCAAAGTCATCTTCAATTCTTATCTCTCCCCTTCAATCCATATTTAGTTACCAAATCCTATGAATTCTACTTTCACACCATCAAATCCATTCTTCTTGATTCCCTACCATTCAGGTCCTTGTTACCAATCACTCAACAAACACTAAGGGCTTTTATGTAAAAAGCACTTGCCAGACAATAAGGATTTAGTAATTTGCAAAATAGACATGGTCCTACCCTTAACAAACAGCGCTTAAAGACTGCCTCCTGAAAAGTTATGCTTACAGTCTCTTCCAAATTTAACCATTTACTAATATTTCTCAAACTATAGTTTTCTAAAACATGCAGAACCACACCTCCCCACTATTAAAGACTATTATTATTTTTCAAGGCTCGCAGAAATCTGATCCCATTGTATATCACAACTTCCCCTTACTATATACCCTGTGCTCTAGGCTAACAATTACTTCTCACTACTATCTTTGTGGAATCAGAGTATAGGGAAGGAGAGAGAAGATAAGCAAATGCTGTTGTGGTAGTTAAAAAAGAAAAAAAAGTATGTCAATGAATTTGCCACTTGAGGAAAATGATTTATGTGATTCAAAGCTGAATAAGTAAAAAAGAATGCAGTGAAACTGACATGTCATCACTAAAAATAAATCAAGCCAAAATTAACTTTTTTCCTTTTTGTTTAGATTATAATAGGAACAGCTAATAACGAAGGATGTATAGTCTAGAAAAACAGGGCAAGAAAAGCAATATTAGTAGTTTTTAAACAAATAAGGATTATCACATGAAATTTGAATTACAGAACATAATTCTGCGTTTATTCAGATGGCAAAATTTAAGAGCAACAGTCTCAGAAGTTATAGAGACAAAGTGAGTCAAGCCAAGGAAAACATAACCAAGAGCCATCCAACAATGAAAGAGGCTGCCTTCTAAGACAATAAGCTTCACATTAAAAAGTTCTTCAAGCACAAGGGTGCGAACTACCTATAGAGATAGTGTAATAAAGATATTATACAGTGTGGCAGATGGATTGGGTAATTTCTCAGGTCTACTCCAACTAAAAAAATCTGACTCCACTCTTTACAGGTCGGTAATAAAACATAGTAAGAAAGGAATTAAAATGGACAGAAGACATTTTAGTGCTGAAGACTAAAATTAGCAAAATTTTTCAGACTTACTTAGTATATTATAAATGAATGCTTTTGTAGGGCTCCAGGCAGACATCACGCACCCTTCCAGTCAATTCTAGAACTGAGATTATGTTTGTGATCAAAGACCAGTTGGTCAAAATGTCCTTACCACAATACTAATGGAAATTCTGTTGAAATGATTACCAATGAAAATTACTCAAATACAAACAACTATGATGAAGTGACTTAAAACAAGAAAACTTACCCCCATCAAAATCACAAAATACACCTATTTTCTCAGGAACAGTAACATCCAAAGCTTTGACTTTATTATTATGCTTTGCTGCAAATGTGTTTTGTAGCCAGTTGTTGACATAGATACACCAACTAGTGTTCGTCTTTCCCAATTGGTCAAATTTCCCCAAAGTTTTGTATGCTACTCCCACACTGTAGGATTTACAATCCTTCTGGGCCTTGACCTCCCAATAATGTTGTCCACTTTCAATGGCAGTGTCTCCTACAAAAGATCAGAAGGTAGATTTGACTCATATCTCTTTTTTCATGAGTCACATAGATTTTTATCTATCATTTGTCCCACATAAATAGCACAAAAAATTTGATTCAAGCATTCTTTCTGTTAGAATAATCATGTTAACAGACACTAAATGCAGAGTACCTGCTGTAACCTTTACATTTATTACTATTTTTTTCTGAATATAAAATGCTTCAGAACTTTTCTTCCTTACCATCCCCTCGTGACAGCACTATGTAAGCTATAGCAGAGTTTTAAAATTATCAATAATAAGACATTTTGAATGCCCCCCCACCCAAAGTAATTAGGCTTTAACAAGGGGAAACTTCTGCAAAGATTCATTCAACATACAGGCAATCACTCCAGTTCTGAGTGAGTGGAAAGTTCCACCAGTGGGACTCTTAATGCCTTTAATCTGAGATAATGAAGAACTATGATGTTTTATCCTACCCAGCACTGTGTATGATTCTCCAGTAAAACGATCCCTGCTGCCTCTTACTGCTGGTGGCCTGGAGCCTACAGATGTCCGCTTGGGGGATGGTGTACCACTTCTATATAAAAAGCAGCAACAACAAAAAAAAACAAAAACAAATATTTTATGTTGTAAATGTTTCATAAACTAAAATTACAAACCATGGAAGAAGCCTTTGAAAAGATTTCTAATTATGTTGCAGAAAAAAACACCATTTAATTTGACATGAATTTTTAAAGAGAGATGTCAATTATAAACACTCAAATCTAAGAAGCCATCAATACAAAGCATGCTGAAAGCAGTAATGTCATGCAAACTGAACAAGGCTTATACAAAGAACACAATGCCAAAATGAGACAAGACTTAATGAAGGGAAAAAAAAAAAAACTCAAGAAGGATAATGGTTATAGCTTACATTTTTTTGCAGTTAAATTTAAATAAAAACAAAGGCAAAAGTAGGCTTCTTATAACTAAATAACCTTTATTATAATTTATATATTTTTCTGTTCTGGATCTTTTCTTCTTAAAAAGAGAAACAGCAATTGCCCAAATACATGCACAGAACAATATCAAGTATTACAAAAGCATTTCTCCTACTAAAATGGACAAGATCCAACCTGACCTCTTATATCAAATTATACTCCTATGACATGATATACTGGACAGTATTGGGCTTTTTACAAACTCTTAAAAATTCAAAATAGATTAAATCCCTCACTGTGGTCAGAGAACATATTTTCTATGATCTTAGTCTTTTTTTAAAAAAAACAAAAATTTAAAATTCAAAATAGATTAAATCCCTCACTGTGGTCAGAGAACATATTTTCTATGATCTTAGTCTTTTTTTTAAAAAAACAAAAATTTAGGGCCAGCCCAGTGGCGCGCTGCTACAGTGCGCCGCTTGGGAAGCACGGCGGCGCTCCCGCCGAGGGTTCGGATCCCACATACAGACCAGCCGCTCACTGGCTGAGCGAGGTGCGGGAGCAACGCCGAGGGTTGCAATCCCGTGGTCGGTCCCGGTCCGGTACGGGCGCGACACTGAGGGTTGCAATCCATTGCCGGTCCCGAAAAAAAACAAAAAAAAAAAAAAAAAAATTTAAACAAACAGTTCTTGGAAAGATTTCTACTATCTTTCAATTCTATTTTTTCCATGAACTTTTTGAAGTGCCCTGTTTTACTGATTTCTTACTGCAATTTATGTTGCTAAACTTAGATGTTTAATTTCTGTTCTTGATTTCTTTTTATTAAGTGTACTTGTTGATTTGCTTAGATTAATTTGCATTTGAAAAGTTTATTCATCTTCCTCTGCTGAAATCAGATATTTGCATGCTTTTGAAAGACTTTAGAGAACTATTTCAAATACTTATAGAGGTTATAAAATGAATATGTAAATTTTAATTAAGTTTTACATCTCTAGTTTTTTGAAGCCCTACTTTCTACAAAGTCCTTTGTTATTCAGTTATGTATTTGTTATTTGAACAAATAAATGTGCATATCCTTGTTAAAAAAATATTAAATCTCAAAGATGTTTTTTAAATAACATGTTAATTATATGGAATTACTGCATTTAAAAAGCCAAAAAATTTATTCAAGATTATCCTAAATTGGGCCGGCCCGGTGGCGCACTGGAGAGTGCGCCGCTTGAGAGCGCGGCGGCACTCCCGCCGAGGGTTCGGATCCCATGTGGAGACTGGTTCCCGCTCACTGGCTGAGCGCGGTGCGGACGCAACACCGAGGGTTGCGATCCCGTTACCAGTCAGTAAAAAAGACAAAAAAGGAAAAAAAAAAAAAAAAGATTATCCTAAATTAATTATTTAAGGAAAATGAGGAAAAGTATCTGTATTCTCACCACTAATTAGAAATAAAAACACTTTCCAATATAGTTGCACTAGAATTTTTCTTCCTAAGAAAAGATCAATTTAGCAGACATTAATAAGCTATGAACTAACACTGGAATAGAAATCCCTAATAAAGGGAATGAAAAGGAAGGAGGTTAAAAATAAAATTGTTCTAGTATGGTTATTAAATTTTAACAAAAAAGCTTTTAATTATCCAGAATTCCTATGCAATACAAGAACTTAGTATAATTTACAGTTATTCTCCAAAAGTTCACTTGAAACTCATTATCTAAAATCAAAGTATACTCTCTCCTAGAAAAAATGAGTGGGCACTCAGGATGGCTCACCACAGTTTACCTAATCCATAAAGTCACCAAAATATTATCGTATATTAATCAAAAATATATTTTTTAACTTCTTCAAGGTTTGGTTTGACCAGATTTTCTAAGTTAATATTTATTATACAATACTCTTAAAAGTCCTTCCTCCTTACAAGATAATTCAACTGTAAATACTGGTAATTATACAAAAATAAACATAGTTTTTAAAAATTAATCTTTAATGTCAGTATTTGTAGAAAATTAGTTTTTGTAACTAAAGAAGAAAGATGGGATACAGTAACTTTAGAACACTAGCTTTTGATTATATTTAACTTCACTTCAAACCCCCATGTGTTTTAGTATTGCTGGTATTATTTTTACACTTAGTCAAAACTATAGTTTCTTTTCAGCTGAGAGAGAGATGGAGCAAAGAAAGTAAAAAAGATTTTGCTGTGGGTAACTAGGCAAGAATCAAATGAAGGAGATGAAAGGTTAGAGTAAATGTTTAATTAGGGGTAAGGAGGAATTAAATGAGTCAAACCAGTGGTTCTCAAACCTGGCTGTACATCAGAACCACTTGGAGAACTTTTAAAAATGCAAATTACCAGGACTTGCCATAGACTACTGAATCAGAATGTTAGAGGGTGGGCTTGAGAAATACGTGTTTGTGTTTTTTAATTATGAATTTCAAGATTTTACTGCTCAGCTGGGCTAGAAGCCACTAAGGTTAAAAAACAAAACAAAACAAAACTTCCCTAACAAGGGGCAGGGACTAACAGAGTGACGGTGAAAAGACAGTTCTTACACAATTTACTATATGGCACCCTCAGTACTTGGTTGCAGCTGTGAAGTAGCTGAGGGAAGGGAACCACAACTTCTCATCTCTGTATCCTCAGTACACAGTAGGTGTGCAATATTTGACTAAAATGAGTGCAGTCGGCTGAGTAAATGAAATATATGATATTATAAACTAAGGATCACCTATACCTTCTTGAACTATAGTCCGAAATTGAAGAAACATAGGCCTTTAAGATTCTGTAATCAATCAGTGACTATCAATAGAGAAGGCGCTACTGAATCAGAATCAGTGAGGAAACTTTCAAAATACACTGACAGTTCACCTCCTCAGTTGGTGGGCCAGAATATCTGCTGGGAGGAAAGATGCATTTTGAAAAATATTTCCCAGGAAACAAGGGAAAGTCACATAAATAAACAGAAAATTTTCACTTAGCCCTGTTTCAAAATATGCTAAGAGCTCCTTTGATAACCAGAATAACAATTTTTTAAAGAAAAAATGTATAACTTACCAGTAGCAAAAAAACAAAGGGAAGCATGGAGAAAAGAAAAAAGACATAACTATCGAGAATGGCAGTTTAGTTTCAGAGAAAAGTTAAATAAGGAGAACTCTTTCAATGCAACATTCCAGCCTTCCAACGCTAAGTTCATTTTTGGAAAAAGTACAACCCTTATTATGTCTTATGTCAAACATGATTTCCCCCACGTCACTACTCTTAAAGACACCTTGGCCACTTTATCTGAATTAAGGCTCTTTGTTATCTCTAGTCTACATTATTTTACCAGCTTCCCAAACGATCTCTTTGCTACCCAATTCATCTCATTCACTATTAACAAGATAAACCTAGCTCTGACTCCCCTAGTTTAAAATATTCTTGTACTATATTTCCATACTGTCTGCAAACGACAGCATTTCAGGTTCTTGATTTGATACCAATCTGCCTTTCTAGCCTTCTCTCCCCTAGAGAGCACTATACAGCTAAATGTACCAGCAAGAGTGTTCTTTAAAGTCACACAATTTGCTTCAGTGCCTCTCCTCGTATTGTTCCTCCTCTCACTGCAAGTCCAAATACCACACATTCTTCCAGTTCCTCTAGAACCAGCCTAAATAACATCCCCTTAATGAGAGTCTCCCAGATCCTACCAGGCTAAATAACTCTTCTGAGGAGTCTAGCTCCAGGCCAAAATCCTATGTGTGATCTTTCAGGCCCAATCACAGACAATTACAAAGGCTTCATCTGACAGGCCTTTGGATTGGGTGGGTAGTGTGGGGGTGCACGGTGGGGTGGGCTGCCCTCCTCACACCAGACTTAGTGCATAGCTAGTGAATGCAATTTCTAGAGGGAGTTGCAATTACACCCCTCTCCCTACCATGCTCATGAGAGTATCTGCATTCCTAGCCTAGGTACCTCTGTTCAGAGGCCCCCTTATGGGAGGGAGACCCTAGGCTGAGATATTTTTCAGTTGCCTGAGTAGAAGATCTCCTTAAGAGCAGGAGGAGTGGGTAGGGGTGGAAGTTTGAAAACACTTTTCTCCACTATCTCTCAGTACCTTTCTACCCTCCCCCCCCTTCTTGGCCCTCAGGTCCATAAACAGGAAGGTGCCTTTTATTTTGTGCTTCCTGGCAATGAGAAGATCCTCTGTGATCTGTGCTGACTCACTTGACCTTCACCCGGTGCCTTCTGTTGGGGGAAATGGAACACTATGGGAGTGAGCACCCTTTCCTTTGTAGCCTTTTTGCTTCTACTATCACAGTAAATCAATAAAGGCTTGATTATTACTTTCAGTTTGGCTCATTGTCCTAACTGACCATCTCAAGATCTGGCAGCTCTGTACATCTTTCTTCCTCTGAACTCCTTTGTTCATTACACATACTTGCATTATTGTTACTTGTATATATATCTCACCTACATGAGTTAGAGCAAATTTCTTGAAGGCAGAGACAGTATTTATCCCTATAAACCCCACAACATCCAGCAGCCATCCTACAGTGAACAAATATTTATGGAAAGAATAAGTAAATGTACATAAGCATTCTAGAAGTGGCCTATATACAAAATACCCATAAGAGGAGGGAAGGGAGAAAGAAATAATATAACATAAAATGCTAAATACAAGTGATCTAAAAATTTCCCAGTGACCAAATGAAACTTCATAGATTCTATTAAATCCAGCAGCATTTTACAATTTATAATACACTAACTATATACACTAATAATACACTAAAAGCAAAATTGCTTTTACCAATAATAAACAAATTGAAAAAAGGAAGAAATTTTGAAAACAACACATTCCTGTTTCTGATAAAGATATGTGATATCTTCAAATAAGCACATTACTACTTGTGTAATTTGAAATGATTCATCTTTCTGGCACTGTAATGAGAATTTCAGCAATGAACTTTTCTATCCTTGATGCTTTTGAAATTGCATAATTACTATAAAATATAGAAAGCTTCAAACCTGCCTCATGTCAGATACAAACAACTAAAAGCAAAGCTATAATGTTAAATTGAATACAGTACAACAAGAAAGATGCCAGGTATGAGTAAAAGCAGGAAAAAAATCAGATGAGGAAAAATAAGTCAAGAAAGACTTTAAAGCAGAGCTCGTTTAGTTATCATATATAATATAATCCAAATAATACGTGGCACACTACAATGCTGTAAATTCAAAACATAAGCTACCAATACAGTCTACACAGAGCAGAATTTTAGCTTATAAAGGCTGCTGCAATGGCTTTTGCTTATTGGTTAAAAGAAAAAATTAAAGTTATTCAGCCAAGCTAGATATACTAAGTCCTAGAACTAGATAGATATAGATCATCACCTTGTATGTCTCTTCAGTGAAGTAACATGGACACTGTCAGATAAAAATAGGCAACTGTTAAGAGACTGACTTACAACTTAAGTTTAACAGCTTATAATAAAATTAGATCAAATGCCTCCTGAGGATTATTATTATTATTTTTTTTATTCACTGTTGTAACTCACAATGACATTTACCTTCAATTTGGGCAAAAATTTATTCTGTTAAAAAAGAAACAGGTTCCCATACTTTGACACTGTCTAAATAAGTTAATAACAAAAGGTCCTTGAGCCTGCCTCTTGGGTTCATTGGGTTGCTAATGGGGCAAGATTCTGGGGCTGAAATTGCAAAAAGTTGTTATTTAGTGTAGAGATGCAGGAAAGATCTATACATCTAAAATTCAGAAATTATACCTGGAACTTCTCTCTAAGCAATTCAAGTTGCTGTATATATGTAACTTTAAAGAAATAGAATGCTGAAATAAAAATCTATGAAGAAGAGGATTAGGAAAGAAACTAAAAATAAAGTAATGAAAAATATTAATGACAAAATCAAGTAATGACAAACAGTATCATATTCTTCATTTTGGTGTTACTAATATATCATAAATCACACTGGTATGCAGAATAAGGATTTTAATATAAGTTACTATAAAGTAAGAACCAATGTACAAGCATTTCTCCATATAACATCTAATGAACTAGCTTACCTGCCGCCCTTGTTCTCTTTTCCTTTAATTTTACTTTCTTGACCTTTTCCTCCAGTAGGATCCCACTCTACACAGGTATCTTCAACTTTCAGGTTCAAATGGGATGATGAATTATCCAAACTGAAGTTAAGTGCTATCCAAGACAATATTTTTCAATTAAAAAAAAAAAGTAGCATATTTCCACTTTCTGAAGCACAACTATCACCACATTATTTTCTCACTCAATTGATTCAACACTGTAAATAGAATAAAGTTCAAATTTCCAATCCTAGCTTTTAAAGCTCTCAATGATTAGGCCATAATTTACAATGCCTAACTTATTTCCCATTATTCTTCTCTATATACCCTATACTCCAATCAAATACAATGTACTTGCATAGCCAGTGCTATTCCTTCTAATGGAATCTCCATCAGCATACAGTAGTCTCAATTTCCTGTTGTAAGAACATCAGTTGATTATCAGTTGATTTTTGTTACTAAATAGGAAGGAGAACTGGTAGAACCGAGGAGGAATGATACAGTATAAAAATTATACAGCCTGGCACACATATTTTCTCTGATGTTTTAATACTTAATGATTTCATACTTAAACTCTCATTAGTTTCAAATTAAGACACTGGAAGAAACTGGGGCCATGATGGCAGAAGCAAGGGAACTGACCTAGTTGATTGATGATTTACATCTGCAAAGAGCAGAGGGGGGAAAAGGACCACTTAAATGAAAATGAAACAAATGAACATGAAACAAGACTATGTTTTCAAATCATTTGATATTTTGGAGAACTATCTGTACTGTTCACAAGACTTATTCCAGAACTTCTGATGTAGGAAATCAGTATAACAAGGTATTAGCTTTCCTCTTTGGAAACTGAGGGTAAATCATTAAAATGTATTGATTTATGGCTGAGTAATACACAGTTCCTTCTATTTTAAAATGTAATTCCCAGAATCTCTATCTTGCAAGGTATCTATTAAACAGTTACCAACAATCTGCTTCTGTTAGTTATATTTCCCTTCAAAGGTTCAAATTCCTGGTCATTATTTATTGAAGGAATATTCCTTTACAATACCCCATTTTACTTAAGGATATTACTCAATTTAGCTAAGGCTTCAGTGTGTCTGTGAATTATGCAACAAACAACAAAATAAGCATATAAAGAGCCTAATGTTTACCTAGTGAATGAAAAACTTTTTATCCTCTATTCTATAAAGAGCACTTTAATTTCAGCTATGCATCAGAGCCATTATTGTCTTTATTTATAAAACAACATTCTGAATACAAATCTACTGACCACACAGCTTCCAGTAAATGTCACACTATATAAGGAAGTTAATAGCTTTCAAAACATGCATCTAAACAGAAATGAACTTACAGAAAGAAGGAATAATGCAGCTTTTCAGTAAAAATGGAAATAGAATTCCTTAATAGGTAGGTTACTAAAAAGTCAGGATTGGGTAACACTGAAACCCTGCATTTCCAAGATGAACTGCCTTAAGAAAACAGAATTAACCTCTATATTTAAGCTATTAGGTAAAGCATGTGAGGGCATCTACATTTTTTGAGAGGAAGAAAAATTGAATTTAATTCTAAGGTGTCATCAATTCTCAATTGCTTATTAAAATCCAAAGGAGGGGGCTGGCCAGTTAGCTCAGTTGGTTACAGCACAATGTTATAACACCAAGGTCAAGAGTCTGGATCCTGGTACTGGCAAGCCACCAAAAAAACAAAACAAAACAAAAATCCTAAGGCAGAAGGGAGTGGAGGGAGGGAAAGGAAGGAAGGAAAAGGAGGAAAGAAAAAAGGGGAGGGGAGAGGAACCACATAAGACCAGACTTATCAAATATCACAGCATCCAAACAAAAAGGCATGGGCTTCAATCCTAGGGGTGTCATCTTTCGTCTCTCTCTCACTTTCTCTTTTTTAAAATCCCTTTATGGGACCTCAGTTAAGCCACAGAGCCTCTCTAAGGTAACAGGGATAACATTATAGTAAAAAAAAAAAAAAAAAAAAAAAAAAAAGACTGGCCTCAAAAGGAAGATCCTATCTCTTGTATAAGCCCTGTAATAGAGCTAGATATTAGTTTTATTAGTTTTAATATCTTTAAAACTCTGTGAAGACAAGGTACCAAAAATCAGAATACTGGTATGTTTCATATATTTAATTTGTGTTAGTGGCTGCTTTCTTGGTACTATAAAATTATATATCATAGCCACTATAATTAGAGGTTGGAGAGTAGTTTGTGATTTTTTGATATAATAACATTTATCTTCACAAAGAAGTAAAGGATAATATACCATAAAAAATCTGGTCCTAAAAACTTAGATTACTCATCACTTTTGACAATTTCAATGCCATAAGAAACATTGCAACATACATTGGAGGGACAGAATTAAGCAATGTTCACTATTTTCCATACCAAGGACCATAAGTGGTGCAGGATATGAAATTCTGGTAGGCCTCAACTATTTAACCTTCATCTCTCTTTCTTTACCTCCAGTTCTTCTTGGTCAAAAAGGGATGCAGCAAGCCAAACAAATTAGTAAACAATTGTTCAACATACTACTTTTAAAAATCTGGACTTTTCCTATGGAGCTCTTGCTCTCAGAAGCTATGCCAATGATATGGAATAACCCTGGAAAATCTGTGACCCATAGCCATGTGAGAGAAAAATTTTATTCTAGGATTTCCTGAAGGTCAGATCACTGTTTAATGGGTCTCAGGGTTGAGTTTCAGTCTATTCCCACCCCAGGGGGTTGATTCAACTGTGAAAAACACTCAAAAGGACTAAAATCTCTCTCTACAAATCCTAAGACCAAGAGTTTGACTGGTAAGATCCAGATACTAACAGAAGCAGCCATGGGCCGGCCCGGTGGCGCACTCAGTGGAGTGCGGCGCTTGGGAGCGCGGCAGCGCTCCCGCCGAGGGTTCGGATCCCATATAGAGACCAGTCCGCTCACTGGTTGAGCGTGGTGTGGGCGCGACACCGAGGGTTGTGATCCCGTTACCGGTCACGAAAAAAGACAAAAAGGAAAAAAAAAAAAGAAGCAGCCAGTCCAGTTCTAAGGAAACCACACGCCAGTTATTAATTTCCTTAAACCTATGGAATTTGCACAGAAATGCACAAGTCACCACATTTAAGTCTAAGTTTGGTCACTGAATATAAAGGTAGATGAAAAGGAACAAAATAAAAAAGATACAATGCTCTTGAAGGAGAATAATAGTAATAGTAATGCAATTTTACCTGACAGGGGCTAAAAAGAGTTCAAGTTATGTAGAAAATATTATCTGCCTGCAAATATGACTATACTTTGAAACAATAAAAGTCTCTTAAAAAAAAACCCCACATTAACATCTCGGTTTGATAACAAGGAATTCAATGTAATTGCATTTCTCAGCTAAGTTATTTAAATAAAAACATTTGCTAATCCAAATTACTTCAAGTTAATTTAGACCTTTGTGATGCAAACCTATTTTTCTGAGTCTGTCTCATCAATAACTTATGTGCCTCATATTTTTTATTCTAATATTTTTATATCATCCTCTAAATCATATGAAATCTAGAATGCAAATCTATTCAAATGCTATATGAACTAGTGGTCAATGGAACACCCTAATTTACAATTACCTACAACAATGTGTAGTGTCTGATTCTGGAAGTAAACAATGTGTAGAGTCTGATTCTGGGAAGATCTCTAGCATTATGGCCTTCAAATTGGTAAATACCTAATAATCTTCTCCCTTCAAATATGTTATTCTGGTCAGTTTTAACTAAATCCAAATTGCTCTCAGAGGCCACAATAACCTAGGTTCCAGGCCTATGATGAGGGCTAGGACAGAACTTGGAAAGAGATTCTTATCGACACCTTTCTAAGCTAGATCTGAGGATTGTGGGCAAGTCATTTAACATATTTGAACTTCACTTTCTTAATCAATATGGATATCAATAATACCTAGTCTACTGATCTCTCAAGATGATTTTAATGATCAAATAAAGAGATGTGACAGTGCTTTGTAAACATTAATAAACCACATAAATGTTAATTACTGCAAAAAGATTCAGGAAAACAGAAGAGACCTGAACTAAACAGGTACTTCCCTATTATTGTTTCGTAATCCATTCTCTGGGAAAACTCTGGGCAAATCTCAGCGATGCTTATGCATGTTGTAAACACACACCAGAGAATGTAACACCATCACCTCAGTCTATTTTACCCACATGAATACAGCCATAAAGGAAACCCACTACTATAGTCCTATTTTCCCCCATCTTGTAATTCCTACTGTTGGGAAAGCCAGAAGGGGGGAAGGAATAAAATATTTCCTATCACAAAGTCTTGAATAACTTCAGGTGTTAACTTTTGTCTTATTATGTACAAATAGCTACTGATTTTACCTTTGGTCTCTAGAGTCACCGGATCAGAATACTCTCCAGCCACAGCCTTGTTACAAGCTCGTACTCTGAAATTCATGTACTTTGAATCAAATTTTAAACCTGTAAAAATAAGAAAGGTTTTCAGACATGAAAAGTAAAGGACTCCATCCCCAAAAGTAGCAGTATCAACTTTTTTTTTTTTGGTGGCCGACTGGTATGGGGATCTAAACCCTTGACCTTGATGTTATATAATATCATGCTCTAACCAACTGAGAATAACTGGTCAGCCCTGAGTATGAACTTTCAAACAGACATTTTTTTTCCTCTTTGGAAGTACCTCTATTTAGAAAGAGTATGAATTTATGTTAAAAGGGAAATAATGCTTGAAATAAGAAAACCCATGATTCATCTATTATATTCTTCGAAAGAAATGAAATATACAGTTTATAAACTTTTTTATTAACCTGGTTACAAAAAGACACCCTTTTCAACTCTCAGTAAAAGTAGTATTTCATTCAAGGACAGATGCCATCATTTAAAATAACATATTCAGTTTCTGAAAAGTAGATACCTTAAAGAATTTTTATACTTATGAAACATCGTCTTTTTCTGTGAAAAATGAATTTAAAGAGGAAGTGAAACATGCCATTAATAACAAATACTCTGAAGTTTAGTCTAAAATAAAACCTCAGTCCAAAAACTTCTAGCTATGGAAACTTCAACAACCCCTGACTAAGCCTCAGTTTTCTATCTGTAAAACAGAAATGATAAAGCCAACTTCATAATTATTGTAGACACTAAATGGATATATTGTACTGATTAAGAAGTACTATACATAACACACTTGAGCCCAGCTCCTGACAAATACTCATTGCTCAATAATGGTAGCTCCTAATGTTACTGCTCATGCATAACAAGCATGGAACAACTCAGACTATGTTTGGCCATTTCAAATCTCCAAAGTTCCCTATACAGTGAGACATCTTTTCAAAGGCATTCAAAAGTCCAACACAAATTTCTTTTTTTTTTTTTTGTCTTTTTTTTTGTCTTTTTTCGTGACTGGCAACGGATCGCAACCCTCAGTGTCGCGCCCATACCGGACCAGGACCGGCAACGGGATCGCAACCCTCGGTGTTGCCCCCGCTCCTCGCTCAGCCAGTGAGCGGCCGGTCTGTATGTGGGATCCGAACCCTCGGCGGGAGCGCCGCCACGCTTCCCAAACGGCACACTGTAGCAGTGCGCCACCGGTCCGGCCCGCAACACAAATTTCTAATACCTAGTTACACCTCTACTTTAAATATTAATGTGAAGCTAATACTAAGGTAAAAGCCAAGGTAAAAATTAAATGTTACTCTGAAATACTGTTTCCAGAACATCCCTTCATATGTTTTATATACATTCTGTTTTGCCAGGCTGCAAATGTCCAGAGGTAATTAAAACAAAGGTTTCCTTAATGTCTTAAGCGAAATTCACTTCCATAACGAATATCTAAAAAGTCAGTTTGGCTAAAGAAACTTAATAACTTTATCCTTTAAAGTAACTGAAAACATATTTTATAATTACATTTATTCTCTGAGATTTCTAAAATGCAGTCATTTTACCTGCTAGTGTATATTCAGTACTCTTAATATTATCAATTATCTCCCAGCATCGCTCATCCTTTACACGTGGAAGGCCATCAAAATTAGTTTTCCTATATTCCAGTATAAAATGGTCAATTTTATTATCTTCTTCTGGCATTCTCCAAGCTACTGTTACAGAGTTGTCAGCCACCAAACACTCTCCTGGATCTATCTCTGGAGCTTTGGGGACTGCAGAATAGGAAAAAAAAAAAAAAAAAAGGCTCATTCCTCATTTATTATAAAACACTAATCAAATACTTATGTTTGTCATTCAATGTATGCTTTTCATCCTGCTTAAAAGTGAAGCAAGTTAAGAGAGAAGCTACCCTATAAATGCAAAATAACTATTTTCAAAGCTAGATTATAGCTTCATTTATTGCTAGATTATAGCTTCATTTATTGCTAGATTATAAAAACGTCATGTTTCAAAGTTTTTTCATAAACTTATTCAAAGTATATTAAAATTTTAGATGGCAAAAAGCTAATTCCAACATGCTAATGATAAAGAATCAAGAATGACTTGTTACTTCTGAACACTTTATACTTTTAATCTGTTATTTCAAATAGCTGTAGAATATAAATTAAGTCAATACTAACAAATAGAATGAATTGCTTTGACAATGATTAAAATTCAGTATTGTATTTTCAATGTATTATTAAAACCTTGTTTATATAAGCACTGTAATTTCTCAGCACTAAACAAAAACAAATTCTCCAACCCCCCAAAATAGTTATAGATTTGTAAATGTTTCTCCAAGAGTTCTATGATTCATTAAAATAAACTGGAGTAAAGGAGCCACATTTAGTATGTATGAACATTAATCAACTTCCTTTCCATAAAATAGATTATTTTATAGTTTTTCAATATTAACACATGTTCCATTTACAAACAGGCTCCCTAGAGAATATGGTCATCCAGTGATACAGATGTGTCTGAACTGTGTGAAACTTCAGTCTAGCAGGTATTGTATTTAAACTTTTTGTCACACACAAATAAACTTTAAAGGACTTATTCCTGTTATGTAAGGCTACTTCAACATTTGAAATCAATTAATGTAATCTATCACATCGATAGAAGAATTATATCATCATAATGGAGAAAAAATTTGACAAAATACAACACCCATTCATGACAAAAACTCTCAGCAAAGTAGGAAGAAAGGGGAACTTTACTTGATAAAGAACATCTTCAAAAACTATAGTTATCATCATACTTAATGGTGAGAAAGAAGATACCCTCCACTAAGATGGAAACAAGGAGAGGATGCCCGACCCCTTGCAATTCCTATTGAACATTTTACTGGAAGTCTTAGCTAAATACAATAAGAAAAGAAAGTAATAGGTATACAGATTGCAGAGAAAGAAATAAAATTTTGTTCAGAGATGACATGATTATCTATGTAGAAAATCCCAAAGGATAAACAAAATAATCCCTTGAACTAATAAGTGATCTTAGCAAGGCTGCAGCATATGAGGGATGAATAGGTAGAGCACAGGGAATTTTAGGGCAGTGAAGTTATTCTGTATAATGTAATGGTGGAGATATACAACATTATACATTGTCAAAACCCACAGAACTGTATAAAACAAAGTAAACCCTAATATAAACTATGGATTTTAATTAATAAAAATGTATCACTATTGGTTCATTAACTGTATCAAATGTACCACACTAAGACAAGATGTCAGTAATAGGGGAAACTGTATTGGGGAGGATGAGGTGGATATACGGTAACTCTCTGTACTATCTGCTGAATTTTCCACAAAATCAAATCTGTTATAAAAAACAAAGTATTAATTTGGGGGAAAAAACCCTAAAACAACAAAAAAATGATATGCAAAAGTTAAAATACAAAGCAATATGAGAGCTAGCAAATAATAAAGTAAACCAAATACCTCAGTAAAATAATCAACACTAAGATGAAAGGAATTTGACTTAAATTTTAAATCTTCAAGGTTTACTACTAAGTAAGAAAGAGAGGGAGGGTGATCTACCTCCATTAACTAGAGTCTTCTCAAAGTTCAACTCTTTCGTGTGTGTAATTACACAATAAATACTTGGACTCTGATAATACCTCATTAGTAAGACAAGAAGTATTTATCATTTATCATTACCATCAATTTCCTTCAACTGTCCTATAGGGTTTTTGTCCCTATAATGCATAACAGATGTTAGTCTCTATTACTGAAACATAAGAAACATAGACTATTTTTGCCAAGAGAAAGACCAGAGGCATTCCTAAATTTAATATGGTCTGCTTTGCCTACATGTGAAGAAATGTAAAAGCCTGTGGTATGTAGCAATTTTATAATTTTGCTGAGTCATTAATCTGTACTCAAGTACCGAGAGGCTGGTATAAAGAGAGTCACTTCATTTGTGAGTAGGCCTAGCTAACTCCCCACTATAAAGCCTGTGGTATGTAGCAATTTTATAATTTTGCTGAGTCATTAATCTGTACTCAAGTACCAAGAGGCTGGTATAAAGAGAGTCACTTCATTTGTGAGTAGGCCTAGCTAACTCCCCACTACATACATCTCAATTCTACTGCCATTCCAGTAAGATTTTATTGGCAAGCAGATTGTTCTTTCTTATGAATAATGGTCTCCAAAAGAAAGCTAAATGCTAAGGGGAAAACTGAGGTTAAAAAGAAAAAAAGCTAAGAAAGTGGTGATACTTGGGAAGGAAAAAGAAAAATTAGATAATTTAAGAGTGGTATGTCGAATTAAGGTTGACTTGGATCTAATATGTAGAAAGTTACCTTAGATTCAATAGAGAAGTAAGAAAACAATCCATCAGATGAGGGTTACAAATTCAGGAGAAGATGAAAAGTAGTCAAGTTGTAACATAAAAATATTACTTAGGAAATGCAAAATTATCTTTGGAAATGAGAATGGAAAGTAATCCACACATCTATCTACCTTTTACCACAAAGCAACACTTGACTAGCAAGAGCATGGAAACTGGCCAAAATAATTTACTAATGTTTTCTCGGCATGTGAATGTAAAAGGGCAAGTGGCATCAACATTGCCACAAACATCTTTCTTTTCTTAACTGCAGAAACTCAAAGGAGAAAGTGTGGAGTATACTAACATTTGTAAAGCAAATGTATTTCACAGGGTCTAGTTTCCAAAGCCCTGTAGTTTCAGGTTTAACCTAACTTTTTAAAATTACATATAGAAATGTTAAGCTTGCAAAAGACAGGAAACTTTCCCCAGGCTAAAGTCTCTGTTGTGGATATTGAATTGTAACACAGCAAAGTTGCTGGCTCTCAAGGACAGACGTCCTTGGAGCAGGTTAACCTACTGATTGATATGTTAAGAAAGTTGCTTTATTGTTATGTAAAAACACTGAGGAAATTGCTGTAGGAAAACACAGTATTTGCTAAGAACAAGCTTTTGTTGGGGGATCAACTTAACCTTTTTCAAATTGCATTATGGAACATCACGTTGTTATTTCACTGATGTTACCAGCTTCTATTGTTAAACTATACTTAACCATAACTCCGCCAATGCTCTTTTTATGTAACTTTCTGGCCTGGAGCATAAATACTGAGACAGAACCCCAGTTCAGGGTTAACTTCCCAAGGAGGAATGCCTCTCTCTTGATGGTTCTGGGAAGTTAACCCCTTCGGGGTGTCTCACTGCTCAGAAGAGATGGGCTTTGAGTAATCCTTTTTGCATCTCCGTCACCCTGTGCAAGGCAAAGCAACAAGAAAGGATTAAACCCAAAGTTTCAATGTATTAAAAAAATGGCTTAGAGTAGATAAAAATGAGTTTGTAATTACCACCACCATCATCACTTCCATTGTTCAGACTGAGATCCGTCCACAACTAACATTACTATATGTAATGCAGGGCAGAGTTGATTTTAGTGGCATTTATGAAGTTAATTAAGGGATGAAGATATTTTTTCATAAGTTAACTTGATCACATCTTATGAGAAATTTTTATGCTACAGTAGAATATAAAACAATAGAGATTTAAACACATCTTTCATGAATTTTAAAACCAATTTTACTTTTCCTTCTGGATGAAACTCCTCCACAAAAAAATTTCATTTTTTATTATACCTCATTCCTTCAGACTTAACAGTTTGCCAAAAAAGGACATCCTAACTGTTCATACAATCTACTTGAGTATAGAGCAGGCATGGTATTGGTATGTTACGCCATCACAGAAACCAAAAAGAAGGAGAGTAATAGTGAAAAGATTGCTTTTTTAACAGTTTTCTTTAAAAAAAAAAAAATCAAAGTAATAATATTCAGGTATATGTTTATGATATACTGATCCTGACTCTTAGTCAGAATTTAAAAGTGGTGGGAAACCTAGATAAAGAAACTAAGGATGTATACACTACATTTTAGGATTTAAAAAAAAAAAAAAACTTCTAAAAAATTCTGCTTACAACAGAAAACATTATGAAAAAGAAAAATGTTATCAATATCAGTGATTCGCATGAGAAAATGGAGAAGGGGGTTGAAAACCATAGTTAAAACCTCAAATGCCTATAAATCACTATGCAAATTCTCAAAGTACGGGTAAAAAATATTGACATAATATTAAGTGAAAAATACAATTTCCCAGGCATCAAAGAAACTGCAAGTTTTCTTTACAATTTAAAAAAGAAAGTAAAGGGCTGGCCTGTGGCTCACTCAGGAGAGCATGGTACTGACAACACCAAGCCAAGGGTTAAGATGCCCTTACTGGTCAACTTTTAGTTAAAAAGGTAGGTAGGTAGGTAGGTAGGGAGGTAGGTAGGTAGGTAGATGGATAGATAGATAGATAGATAGATAGATAGATAGATAGATAGATAGATAGATTAAAAGGAAAATAAAAAAGAACAATGGTAGCAACAACTGCTATCACTTAGTGAGGGTTTCCCACTTCAATCCTCACCATCACAACACGATAAGCTTTACATTACTATCACCACCGTTATTGTCTGGGCTCAAAGATTTCAAAGCAACTTGCCCAAGATTACAAAGTTAAACAGTGATTGGAATGTTTAACCCCTTTACATTTAAAGTAATTATTGATAGTGAAAAATTTACTATTGCCATTTTAATTGTTTTCTGTCCCTCTTTTTCTCTCGTGCTGTCTTCTTTGTGTTTCATTCTTTTTTTATACTGATAAGCTTTGTTTACTTTTTCTTCTTCTTTTGTGTAATAACCAGAGATATTTTCCTTGC